TTTACTACGGCAGTAAAATGTCGTGGAACTTTTGTTTACTGTTCTATGTTTAAAAAAAAAAACTGAAATCTTATTTGTAAATAGTAATAATATATATATATATGTGTGTGTGGGTAATGCATTATAAACGATATGTTATTGTATTTTACAAAATAATGGTCCACTAGAACAAAGTCAAGATGGGTCATTTTGTAAATGCTAGTTTTATGCTGTTGGATACGGTTACATAAGTGCATGTGTGCCGCGTCATTGTAACTACTGTAATGTAAGTCAGACACGGCTGAAAGGTCAATGAAATAAGAATAATAAATATATATATATATGTCTGTGTATGTATAATTTTATGAGATTTAAGCTATTTAGACTCAACATTTGTGGTTTCTTGCTATAATGAAAAATTTTAATTTGCATATATTTCCTCATTTTTATGGTGGTTACAGATCGGTCAAATCGACTAAACCCATACAAAGATACAATAGTGAAAATAATAGATAAAATATAATTTTTTTTTACAAAAACGTTTGGTGATTATCTGGAGGTTATTAAGAGGTTATAAAGATTTCGCAAATGAAATTTGACAATTTTCTAGTGCATAAAAGTAATTTTAATCTTAAAATCAAAATTACTCTTCATGTTGGACAGTCAAAATTCGAAAATCATTACTTAAAAATCTTAAAACTTGATTCAAAAATCTGATATTTTGTATACGAGAGCCTTGTAATGTTTACTGATAATCTGCAAAATTTCGTGAAGATACGCCTGCTGTATTAGAAGTTATAGTATTTTCTTGACTCTAATTGCATAACGTTGAAGTCGGGTCCATCGTCCTTGATTTTAACTTTTGGACTCCCCTGAGGGGTCACACGGTAATTTTTGCAGGACTGCAAAGCTACTAAACACAGCACTGGCTACAGACAAATGAAACTGGCTTGAAAGTGAACAGTTCTAAAACTACTTTCAACACTTGAGATGGTTTATATGGATTTTGTTATACTTTGTCTGTGTAACACATCTGGCACTTTTGAGTGGCTGGCGAAGCTTACACTGAGAAAGTTGCAATGGGAGAGATGTCTCACCTATGTAAATGACATTTCGGTGTTTAGTCAGACCTTTTGGTATTCTGCTAAGAATGTAAAAAATAGCATGGAAAGTTAAACCAGAAAATATTCATTGTTTTATGTTCATGAATGTGTGTCTCAGCAGTTCCATAAAGTTGTCTACAACGACAATCACTGTGTGTTATTGTGCTTAGTTTACATTAAGATGAATCTTTACACTTTAATAAGCACCGCAAATGTTAATTCAGGTTGATAGCATTCTAGGATAGAAATAGTTGTTTATATGTTCACTCAGTAGTTGGCATGGATGCTATTAACTAATTGTCTTCCATCTTCTCTATCAGCTTAAAATTAGAGACATCTATGAGTATCTATTTGCAAAAATTATGAAACTGACTGTTCATTCTAATTTTGTATTTGGTTCATTTATATTTAATCCATCTCCATTCAGTTTTATTTCATGAATTTTGATGTATGACTCACAACTAGTTTCACCTTTTTCTAGTAATGTCTGAGGTTTTTGCATTAATTCATTTGCTTCTATCATGTTCATTGGGATCTTAACTAATGCATGAATAATCAAATCACTGTATGAAGGCTATATTTACTTGTGTAATGATTATTCTACCTCTATTTGATTTTAACTGATCATGTTTGTTTTCATATTATTACATCAAATATTTTCATATTACATCTGGTTCTGTTGTATCTGATTTTTATTACTGTGTTTTGAGTATAATTTTGAGTTAATTTATATAAGTCTGTCTATCGGAGCCTTTATCTTATAAATAAATATATGTATGTAATAAAGACTTCTTTATTTTCCCTGTATGACATTTAAGAGTCATGGCATCTTCTGTGTTTTGTTCAAGAAAGTGATTTATAAATATTTGACCTGAAATAGTCTCTTGTTTGGCTTTAATGTTAATTTTCAAATAATATAAGTAAAGGAGAAGTATTACAATTTGAAACGACAGCATTTTAACCTTCCATGATTAGAATATGAATATATCTTGATTAAGGTATGTTCTGGTAGCATCAGAATGTTGTAGAGGCCAAACCATACGGTTACAAGTGCTCCATCAGCCTCTTCGTCACAGGTTCCGTTCCTGAGAAAATGATATGGTGGATAAGATATGGCTTGTAACTTTCAGCCATCAGGGCACCATCAATTTTGTATAGATCTCCAACATCATTGGCCAAGATGCCCCTGTATTGATCCCCCCCAGGGGGCTTCACTGTAGATATTATGTGTTGACCATGAATGATACTGTATGCATCCCTGCCATCTAACAGAATATAATCAGTTGTTGACAAACAATTTGAATTTGGATTCATCTATAAAGAGTTCCTTCCTCCAGCTTTTCATTCAATTGTTTGAAGTCTGATGACTATTTCATCCTTTTGATTTGGTTATTTCTCTTGTGCAGTGGCTTATGAGCAGCTACACATCCATTAAGGCAATCTTGCGTTAATGGGTATCATACTGTTCAAGAGGTAACATTCACATCTTTGCATACATCTAAGTCACTGAAAAGATTTCAACGAAATTGTCATGTATCATGTAAAAGCATACTCTGAGTTACTTAACATAAGTTGCATGGAATTTGAATTTCCTATCTTGACCTCTTTTCTTTTAAACAGTACTGATTTCAAGTACCCTCTTCCAAGTTTGTATACAGACAGTGAAACATAAAATTTCACTTTGTTTGTCATATGGAGTAGTCTTCATCAACCAAAATACTGATTTCTACATGTTTGTCATGTAGTATTTCTGTCCTAACATCACACTGGTGCTAGAAAGAGTATGCCTACCTGTACTTTTATAGGAATTATCCTTGGGTAGTACTATCAGATTGGTTTGATGACAGCCGCTGACAGCATAAACTATCCACAGTGACTGTACTCTGACGAAGCTCATTTTTGTACAAAAGACGAGGAGAAATTCCATGATATTTACATTTTATTTACTGTTTCCATAATTATATCCAGTATTATATACAAACACACATTATGTTATAATAATATTCTGCTTCAGAATATAACCCCCTGGTCTTATTTATGTTTTAATAAGATGTCTTTATTTATTGTATATTATATCAGATAGAAAATTAAAATATTTGTTTGTCTTGTGGAGAATTTTCTCTGTCTGAATTGTATAGATATAAAAATAATGATTTGTTAAATTTACTTAACAACTCACTATATTAAGTTTTTGAACATCTGGAAATATTTCATAACGTTAAGATAAGTTAGAAAAGAATTAAGCATCTACTAGGTTTTCGTCAAATACCTGTTCCCAAAAATGGAATTTATAAACCTCCTTTCCTTCTGAATAATTTTGTGTATAACCAGCAATAATAACATTTAAATTATATCGGCCCGGCATGGCCAGGTGGATAAGGCGCTCGACTCA